GGAATAGAAAAGAAAGGTATATGCTCAAGAAAAATAACATGACGAGACACATAAAGTACGATACCCATTTTTACCTTCACCATAACCAAGAAAGACACAAATAACAGATCAAGAGGATAACTTGTTGCGTTCAACATGAGGACAAAGAACGAAACAAGTACAACCAAAAACTCTAAATGAAGAATAATCAGGGAAATACCCATACAACTTTTTGAAAGGAGAAAAACTTGAAATATGAGAAGATGTAATTGTATTAATCAAACCTACAGTAGTAAGAACAGCTTCACTCCAAAACTCATTAGGAATAGAAGAAGACAACAAGAGAGAACAAACAGTTTTAACAATGTGCCTATGTTTTCTTAAGCAACACCATTTTGCTTAGGAGTATCTGTACACGAAGTTTGGTGAATAGTTCTATCTAAGGCAAACAACTCAACAAATTTATTAGAAGTGTATTCCCCACCCAAATCACATTTAAAACATTTGATAACAGCAGAATGTTGAGTTTTGATAAAAGCTCGAAAAACTGTATATATCTCAAAGAATTCATAATGATGTTTTATTAAATAAATCCAACAATAACGAGTATGATCATCAATAAAAGAAACATAATATTTGTGGCAACAAGAGAAGGTCCTCAGACATCAAAATGAATCAAATCAAATGGAGAAGAAGAAACAAAAATATTTCGATTAAAAGGTAAAGCTGAAAATTTTGCTAGTTTACATCTACTACAATCGAAAATATCACAAGTTTGCAAATTTCCTAAAGCCCCTATGGATGCCAAAAATCTCAAACGAGAAGACGAAACATGACATAAACGAGAATGCCATAAATAAAAACTAGAAGAAGAAAGACTCAAACGAAAAGAAGATAAATCAACACTAATAGTAGTAGTAGCAGCAACTGACACTTTTAACTCGTCCAAAATATATAGTCCCCCCTTCCTACGGCCTGTCCCAATCAACTTCTAAGACTACAGATCCTGCATATAACAAGAAGAAGAGGAAAATGTGATTAAATTTTTAGAATCACATAATTGACCAACAGAAGCAAGATTTAATGTGAGTTTTGGAATATGATAAACATCAGGAAGAGACAAGTGAGGTGTGACAACAGAACCAACACCTGCTAAAGACATAGGAGTGCCATCAACAGTCATAATAGCAATAGAAGATGAAGGAAATACAGAAGCAAAAGATGAAAAATTTGGAGACATATGATGTGAAGCACCAAAATTCAAGACCCATATAGAATATGACATACCTGTAGAACTATGAGGCAACTGACCTCCTGAAGAAGAAGTAGACATAGCTTGTGGATGTAAGGAGAGAAACTTCTGAAATTGCTCAGCCAAGGTACTAGAATCGGTGAAAAAATTTGATGAAACTACTGCTGCAGTATTAGACTGTGGTGGTTTGTAACCCTGAGGTGGTCTAGGAGCATTAGATTGTGAGTGGTTGCCAGACTTCCAAGCTTGAGATTGCTGCTGCGATTGATTCTACTGTCTTAACTTAGGACATTGAGCCTTCTAATGACCTTTCTACTTACAGAAATTGCATTCGTCGAAGGCAGGCCTTGTGTAAGGCTTATTTTGATTATGAGAGAATGGTTTAGAAGGTACTGCTAGCACAGAAGGATTAGAAGTAAAAAGAATTCCCTTGTCAGAATAAGACTTAAGACATATCTCTCCAGCCAATAACTCACTGACAATTGAGTCAATAGAAGAAAGTGGAGAACGATGTAAAATTGAACCTCTAAGTCCTTCAAAATCACTACGAAGTGTAATTAAAAACTGTACCAACCGTTGCTGTTCTCTACGAGCAATATAGGCACCACATGCCTTTAATTCAATCGATTCTGTAAGAGCCAAATTGATCCCAAAGATCTGTCATAGTAGAATAAAACACCTGAATACTCATATTCTTCTACTGAAGAGTTCGTATGTCATGCTCCAATTGATACTGCTTTGCAAAATTTGATTGAGTGAATAACCTTTGCAGATGATCTCAAACCTCTTTTGCTGTCTCATACTTTGCCAACTGCGTACCTATAGAATGCTCAACAGAATTATTAATCCAAGTAATAATTTTTGCATTGTCTGCTTCCTACATATCTATCAAATCAGTATAACCCACATCAGTATTCTTATGTTTCACATAAGTTCCACTAACATATTCTCATAGTTTTTTACCCTTAAAAAAATTTCTGATCACATAATTCCAATACGAATAATTCTTTCCATCTAACCTCACACTCACAGACTGAAGCGAATCGTCTCTTGCAGTAGCCATAAGCAACAAATAAAGAAAACCAGATTATAAAAAACAGAACAAATACCAGATTACAAAAACGGAACAAATACCAAATTGCAAAAAATGAAACAAATACTAGATTGCTTAAACGGAACAAATACCTTCTCAAAAAAAATTTGGACCCGCGTAAACTGTGTTTGAGATTAAGCCTTGTCCCATAAAACTTTGCTCTAATACCATGTTGAAAATTCTAAAGAAATACAAGAGATAAGAAAAGAGGAGGTTAGAGTTTATTGATACTGCATAATTCAGTTGAATACAAAGAAGTAATTTAACTTAAATACAAAGAGACTATATATAAGCAAAACAAGACAAGAAAAATAAAAGACTATTCTACCCTTAATAAACAAAATAATCCTATATTTCTTAACAGACTCAATGCTCTATTAGAGAGCGGCTATTCAACACCTGACCCAAAAAAAATATCCTCAACGTGACCTCTAGACCAAGTGGCTATAATTTACTTTTTCCGAAGATATGCATGGCTCTCGCCGGTCACGTTCACATAGCCTAGTACTGCTTGAGAGTTGGCCACTGCGTGTTAAAAACTATTTGTGTGAGTTGAAAATTTAATGCATTAAAAGAGGAACTAATAATTTTCCAAGCAGTTTGCAAATTTTTTAACTTAACACCAGATTCTTGTGTCATCACTATGATTTTGTTGATCAAAATTCTGAGGATGTGGTTCTTTCTAAATCTAGGCGAGCTGGAAGTTTTTTTTTTTCCTAATGATGTGGCTATAGCATGGATGAACCAAATTGAGCTTAAACTTATGTTCATTTCGTAAGACTATTTGAACTCAATTTTATTGAATTTATTTGTTCATTCACTCTGCACTGCTATTTAATCTTGGTCATTTCATAACACTATTAGTTGTGTTTACATTGAATTCATATTATATTGGCATTTTCTCGTTCATAGATGGTTAGGCTTCCACAACAGAGCCAACCTAATTTCTAGTGTATTGACTTCTCCAGCTTGCATTATAGAGAAGAATAATGCTACATGAAGCTTATTTGCTAACCAAATTAGTGAGGCAATTCATTGTAAGTTGCTGGACTAGTAATGAGTTCATTAGTGCGGGGAGCTCACTGTCAATCTATAAAATAGAGTGCATTAGATTAGCATTTTATGTTAACAAATTAAATCATAGTGTAATTACAGAGAAAAGGTCCATTAGACTAGGTCTTGCTTTCAAAACTTCTCAGAATTATTTTGATCCATTAAATAAATAGATCCGAATCATTTTTATAATCTAAGTTAAATGATTCTTGTTTTATTATACAGGCATGTCAAGAGGACCAGGCTTGAATAATATTTCCCACTGAAAGAGAGAAAGAGAGTCCCACCTAACATCAATTTCCATACTGAGCTTTCCAGTCATGTCTTGTAGATGTACTTGCTTCACTGTTCAAACTTCTGTTCCTCAGCTTTCTGTCCCATCTACCAATATTCCCGAAAGGAATAGGGGATTCATTGGGCCTGCTCCAAATCATCGTGCACTCTCTTTTAGTTTTCTTCCTAATCTTCTGACTCTTTTGGTTAGTTTAGTAGCAGGTATAAACAATAGGAAGCACTAAAAATTAAGGGGGATGGACTCTTCATCTTGTAAGAAAGGAATATACTCTCTTTTTGTTGCTTATTATGGACGATGAAAGACTAAGAAAAATATTATTTTTATTATTTTATATAGTATGAGAACATAAATGAATAAATAAAATGACTAAAAAATTACATAATTACTTTTCTATATATGAGAGGATTTGCCGTAAGAAACAAATGACTTTGATGTGGGATCCACTAATTTGGTCTACTTAAACATAGAAAATAACAAGATAGGTGGATCACACACTAAATTTTTCCACTAATTGTGTTTTTAAGATATGTCATTTTTAAGGCTAAAATAATAATTTCAACGAACTTTCAATTAAATAAGTTTTCCATCAATTTTTCTTCTTATCTCAATTTTTCTTCTATACCAAACAAGAAAAATTCATTTTTTATTCCATCTTTTGATTCATCCACTTTTTTCACCTAACCAAATTGGTCATTCCGGTAAATAACAAAAAATAGTTAAGAAACTAGGAAATAACTCCGAGTAAATTATTTAATTACCATTGGTTTGAAATTTATTTACTCACATATCATAATTTAAATTTATTCATTAGATTTATTTATCTAACTTTTTAAAAAAGTAATATTAGTTTGATAAATAAATTTAAAACTGTGATAGTTGAATAAATAAGTTTCAAAACAACGAAAATTGCTCAACACTTTCAGGTAACTGCCAGCATGAGAACTCAAAGTAGAGTGACACCTTGACTGGAACTGCACCCCGGGAAACTCAATGAATTTTATTCCCATGTATAATTGTTAATTTATTATTATAAAAACAACCTTTCAACATAAAAATCTTAAAACTATGTGTTACATATTTACAAAACACATTTCCGATAGAAAATTTGAAAACTATGTTTTAAAAATATAATTTTTTATTAACAAACATGAATTTAAACCACACTTCGATGATGTCATATAAATACAAAAGATAAATTAGAAACTAACTCACATGGTAAATAAAATTAGAAAATCCCTATATTTTGATTTAAAAAACTAAGACAACCCACAAGTAATAAGTGTTTTTTTCTTGGATTCTGTACTTTCAGGGTCTTGTTATAAACCTATCTAAGCTTCGCCGAACGATGTGCTGTTGTTATTTCCTATCCAATAACCCAAACCAAATGGATCCGAACCCTTGCTGTTTTCTCTCTCATCTCCTGAGAATCCTCGAGTGAACAAGAGATTTATAGGGTCAGCCTCAATTTCTCCTAAATCCGCAAAGAAATCTTCAGAATGATTGGATTCTGGCAATGCTGGTCTGTAGATCGGAGGGAACCCTTCATTAAATTCACTATCATCCATGTCTATTTGATAATCAAGGTCTTCTTCCATTTCCTCTTTCACATGTTGACGTGTTTTTGAATTCCCAGTGAGAATGGATAGGTTATCAGATTCAGTATTGGTCTCTTTCTGTTCTTCTTTCGAGCTTGTTGTTTTTTGAGGCTGAGAAGCTGGTGAATTTTTTGAAGTTGAATTTTTCTTCGATGGTTGGGATCTAGTAGAGCCTGCAAGAGCATTTCTCTGGGTAGGCCATGGATGGTTGTGCTCAGAAGTGTAGGTGATGACCAACATGTTGGGGTCATTTCTGCTCCGTTCGACTTGTTTCCTTGCTGAACAACCCTTCGAACTACTGCATCTGTAATAACCCCTGAATGCATTTTTTAAAAGAAAAGAAAATTATTAGTTTTGTTTAGTTTCCAAATATAAGTTTTGCGTTCAGAATCATTTTCTCACTTGATCAAACATGACACTTTTGGTAAGGTTCCATTAAGGTAGCTCAACTCGATCACCGTTTGGTATGATACCCAAATAACTAGAAAATATTGATCTTCACAATTTAATTTGCCAAAATTCCTAAGTTTATTTGGAATCGATCCTACAATGTTAAGATCGGCCCGAACATTTTTTAGCATTAGCATCACAGTTAGGATCGTTCCAAACCTTCTTAATTTTGTTTCAACTTAAACTTATTGAATCTTAACCGAGCAATATTAAGTGAACTTAAAAGTAAATTTAAAAATTAGACTTGATAAGTATAACTATTAGTTTCATTATGAGTCCCAGTATTTATTTGGATTCACTACTTATTTAATAATTAAAATTATTAGGTCTAACTTTTAAATATAACTTTTAAATCTATCTAACATTACTTATCCTAACTTTATTCAAATGCTAATATAATAAGGTAATGTCGTATGCATCCACAGATCACAGCATGCACGAGTTCAGATGACTTGAAACAATTGTCTGATGATTAGGTCTCATATGGAAGTGGAACTAACTTACCTTGGGTACGGAGAGCCTTTTATAGGCTTCTGACCATACTTTCTCCATGCCCAGAGATCAGATGGAACTATTTCTCCACTACTAGGCCTGCTGTTTACAGGTGATGGTGCTGGTATACAAACCACCTTCTTTGCCTGGCTCTTCCTGAGTTATATATTATAAATTTTCAGAAAACAAGAAGTCACTACTACAAGAATAAGAAAGAAAATGTGCACAATGCTTGTCACTGTAGATTTTGGAAGGATTTGATGTAAGCAATATTACGTTGTGTCGGGAGAGAGAGAGGCTATTTCTGCGAATGAGAATACAATGTATTTTCAAATTATTTTTACCAAGAGTTGGGACTTGAAAGAATTAGAAAGTTTAATGAACTTGAAATTTATTTCAGTGATGTAAAAAATTGTTTAAATTATATTGGATGAAATATTGCATCTCGGCCTTTGTTTTTTGTTTTTGTTTTTGTTTTTGAAAAAACTGAAAGTGATGGTGAATTCCCAAGGCCACTGCAAGAAATCACCAAATCTTCAGGTGGGTTTTTGGAGGAAAAGTAGTTATGGATAACCACACGAAAGCCAAGTTTGTGAATATAATTGTGACAGCAGTTTGGCTACTTTTTCAAGTATATCAAAACCCATTAAGATATTGTGCATGTGTTTGGGGGTAACGTTGACAGAAAGCACTCTCAACAGAAATCACACAGCTTCTTATAACATTTTAATTTCTTTCATCAAACCCTAATTTCAAATACTCACGGCCAATATAAACCTGAGTTTAATTTAATCAAATGATTAGTTTTTCAAAAACTCATCATTTATTGTACTGATCAAAACACCAATATTTGTTAATTTATAAAGTAGTTTTCTATGCTTAACTTGCACCATATATGATATAAGAATTTGATCTGAAACCAATACATATATCATGAAAAATTTATTGAAAAACAATTCATTCAAGAAATTCTTACCTTCGTTTAATAACCGTATTTCTCGGAGATGAGACCTGAACCCCAGAGGTTTCAACTAGGTAACCTTTGGAGCTGCTTCGACTAATCGTACCATTAGACACTAAGCTAGTAGGCTTAAGTACCCGCGGCGAAGCTGCCACCACCACCGGAGAATCACATGGCGACACCGGCAACTTAGCAGTTGGAGAGATCTGAAGCATTCTTGAGAAGATATTGCAAGGCCTTTGCATCTCCTCGTCAGGAATCTTTTGAGCAAAACTAACACCATCTCCACGGCCACCACCGCAGCCACCTGCGCCTTCAACACTTACGCCAGTCTTCATCATGCATTTTGAACTTATGGAGTTATTGAAAAGGCCTGGATTCGGAAAATCTATTTCATGAAGAAGTGGATCTTTAATGATAGAGAACGGATTGCCAAAATAATCCGATGGTTCTTCGATCCCTGAAGGATAGCTCATGGGATCGGACCGAAACTGCCAGTCGTTGACTGCCTGTACTTGGCCGGAGTTGTTGTCTATGTAACCACTAATTGCTCCACCGCTGGCTCTAAGCATGTCAGCTAAATCACCTTGATAATTCTCCATTCTCCGCTGGAAGAAACTGCACATACTTAGGGCGAAGCAATACAATAGAGTCTCATTTGACCTCTCTAGTTTGGTATGTCTTGCACCAAACAGACGTAAAGAATATGCACTTGTATGTGTTTTTCGTTGAATGATTAGGCTTTGAAAGACTTATGTGGATTTGAAGATGGGTTTTTGTTGTTGAAGAAGCAAACAAGTTTTTTGTTGGTTGAAACTGGAGTTGTTCTTCACCAGAACAAACAAAAAGAGGAGTTTTAAGAGAGAGAGAGAGTCGCTGACTTTTCATACAAAACAGCACTTCTCCATACGCAACAAGTAGAGGAAAAAAAATTGTTAACTCGTAATGATTTACTTAATCTAATAGGGTTTGGAGCTGGGTGATTCTTATATCTTCAAAGGGGTCAAATTGCTGCAACTGTTGTTTTTTAAACGAATATTTTAGCATATTATTGTTCTCTATCTGTTTTTTTGTATGGCTCTGTGTAACAAATACAAGATTGTAATTACAGTTGGCAATTGTTAGTATAATCTCTCAATTATAAAACATATTCGCACAACATTACTAGATATAAGTTTAATTTTAACGTGATTGAGTCAAACCCAATTAACCCATTAAGCTAGATCAATACAAACCCGACTTTACGATAATATATATCTACTATACATGATTTATATCCCAAACGAATAACATACGATTCAAACTCTATTGCATAAAACTAAAGAATGAAGTACAAACTAAATAAGTTTTGATATAATAACACTTAAAACACGAGTTAAACTAACATGAAAGGACTCATTATTGATGTTGATTGTATCAAATGTTGACAAATTTATTGGGATGTTCCATCCTATAACCCCCCCCCCCCAAAAAAAAAAAAAAACAGCTGTTTATAGTGTGTGATTTGCACTCTTTAACTCTGTTTATGTTTGGTCTCAGTTTTATTTTTATTTTTTATTTTTGTGGGTCATAACCACTGTAAATTGTTTGCCAATCATAGAGAGAGTAAATGGTAACCGAATCGACATGTGATCATGATTGTTCCACATCGGGTAGTAAACATTCGCGATGAACATTCGCGATGAATCCTACAAAATGTGCATCTTCACATGTCCCCACAAAAAAGTCATTTTTCTCTTTAAAAAAATTCACAGAAAAGTACAGCAAATTAAAATAGCTGCAATTTTGGAAAACGTTTGGAAACGAGGACTGCTCCGTTTCGTTTCGTGGTCTATATGTTTTGGTTGGCATTAGTATCATATATATATATAAAGCAAAAGAGTCGTATAATATGCACCATGTTCAAGAACACATATATTATATATACATATACAGTTATATAGAATTTTTTGGGACCCAAACATAGATGATGTATTATCCGTAAATAATGCTATTTATATTTAAAAAAATTAACCTAATTTGTTGAAATATTGGTGTGACGGTGACACAGTACAATAGTATTATAACTGTAAATGTTTAACTTTTTTTATTGAGTCTATATTACTTGACAAATAATTATTAAATAAAATAAAATTAAAAATAAAAAAAATAATTATGTCAATAAATTAAATCATATTTTTAGATCCCAATGACAATATTTGAAAAAATGTTAGTACTCAATGACCAAACCATATTTCTATTCACTGTTATATAACGATACAAGGTACATGAGATTTATACAAAATTTGAATAGAAAGATTAAGATATACAGTACAAAATTTAAACTAATGATATTTATCATGTGGATGATCTTGAGGAGCAAGTAAATCAACAAAAGATAGAGCAAAATCAGCAGCAGATGGATTATCTTGAGAAGCCAAATTTGTAGGAGCCGATTTTGTTGGAAGCTTAACATTCCCCTACAAGCTGATGGGAGGCAACAAGACCATCAGTTTGGTGTGCAGCTGAGCAAAATGAACTGAAGTGAGACCTCTGATAAAGCACTTTCTCGCGAATAAAATGGAAGTCAACTTCAACATGCTTGGTTCGAGCATGAACAAGATAATCCATCTGCTGCTGATGCTGCTCTATCTTCTACTGAGTTACTGTCTCCTCAAGATCATCCACCTGATTTATTTTAGCATGATAAATTTCATTAATTTATATTTTGTATTGTATATCTTTTTTTTTTTTTTTTTGTGTTGTATTGTATATCTTAATCTTTTATGTTCAGATTTTGTATAATCCTCATGTACCGTGTATCGTTATATAACAGTGAATAGCAATGTGGAAAACCCATTTACACATTTTTTCCAAACACTTTCATGGTACATAAAATAGCTTTAGTACTGCTCATAAAAAAACCATCCACTTCTGCACCTATCTTTCTTGCTCCAAATATTGGCGAACTCATTTTTTTCAAGCTAGATGGTGACAATTACCTGTAATGGCTGTCCCAATTTATATTAGTATTGAAGTCCAATGATCTTATGGGCTTCGTGGATGGTTCTGAGTCATTCCCAGATCAGCTTCTTCCTCCAGCTGCCGGCAAATCCACTGGTGATGCTAATCCAACCTACTTGCTATGGTATAAGAATGATCAATTTGTTCTTTTATAGATCAATGCTACTTTATCCCCTAAAGTTCTCTCTATTGTGTATGGCCTGTCGACTACAAAAAGGGCATGGGATTCATTCTCAAACTTGCTTTGCTTCTCAATCTCTTTCATGTATTAATCTCCTGCAATGCCAACTGCGTCGTTTGCATCGGGAGAACCAATCCTGTTAACAGAATTTAACCTTTGCCAAAGACTTAGTAGATCAAGTCACCTCTACTGGGAAGTCTGTTGATGAAGATGACCTTGTCTCTACTCTCTTGATCGGACTAAATTCAGCTTTCATTCCATTTCAAAATTCAATCAACATTGTTATTCGAGACCACAATATGTCATTTATGGATTTTTAGGCTAAACTCCTTTATTTGAGATTCTTCTTGAGTCTCACCGGTGGATAGTGCCTCCCAAAAAATCCTTTTCTTTGGCTGCTCGCCAAACTTCGCACCACTACTAGCGAATTACCAAGACCAAAAATTCTATCTCCAAAAATGCCGCTAATCAAAATTCTACTAGTTCCTTACCACTGTCACCTACTAGGGCAAACAATTCTCTCATGGGAGACTCACACAATCGTGAAGCTTATCACCCAATAATATTTGTCATTATCTATATGTAAATATATTATTTCACCAATCAATGTAGAGCTCTAACTATAACATCCTGAATTTTTATAAAATAAGAGTTGTTATTTGAAATGACATATTGAGGATAATACAATTAAGGTTTTATGTGACCAGAAGATTTCAAATAAACAAATGAACATAGAAAATGGATTAATTGTGTGAAGATCAGTTTAACGATAATAATATTGGATATATTTTGTATCGGAAGAAAAATAATGTGTTAGACACCCAAAGTATCTAAGATGTCAAAATGGATGTATAAAAGCATGTGGGACAAGTATGAGAAAGATGTAACCAAGCATGTGTAACAGGTGTCCACTTTGGTGTGTCATAAGACACTTGTCAATAGTGAAATATGGGAGAATCTAAAGAAAGACACATAGCAAACACGACGAAACCCACATGCACTAAGAAGGGTTATGTGCAAGAAAAGTGATACCTCATGTGTCAAGTGAGCAAGCATTAGAGGCATGCAAGGGGATACCTCTTCCTTGCCAAATAGCCCATAAATTCTGCACATCCCTCACTTGCAGTAACCCTAGGAAGAAGAGATAGAAAGAGAAAAGAATAGAATAGCAAAAAGAAATAAATTAGAGGAAAAATCTTGAGAAAAAAAAGGGGTTTCGGTTTACAGATCACATAGTGAATTTACACATTAATTTTTACGAAATCGAGTGAGAGAAGTGCATCAGTTTGATCACGATATCAACTAAGGATTGGATAAGTGGAATAACTCCCAATATGCATCCAGTTTAAATATCTTTGCAAAGAGTTTTTTTTTTGTTATCATTGAAAATTTCATTCTAATTATTGCACCTTCCATTATTTAAAATTCCTTTGATTATCCATTGAGTATACTATATCAAAAACATATTTTTGGTGGTTGGTGAATTGCTTGGATAGTTATCACTACATGCATCAGGTGCACTCGGTGGCATGGTTATTGGTTTGATATGTGATTGTGGCCCAAAGGACGTGTGTGATAGTGGTATGCACACATGTTCAAGTCATTTTTTTTATATGAAACAACTATAACTTTATTAAAATTACAATGTAAAAAAGTAAATCAACAGAAAGCAGAGTCATTACATTGTAAAGTGTAATGAGATAAGCTATCAACTACAACATTAGCAAATCGTCTAACACAGGAGGTAGAGAACTTGGTAAATTTCTCAACAATTCAATTTGTTCAATGAAAGTACTAGAGATTGATAGGTTGAGTTCCTACTTCCCAATATCTTCCACAACAGATTATTGCCTTCTAAATGAATCCCCATATGCCCCATCCATACACCCAATTCCATAGTATAAAAGGCATCCAAAGCCTCCATATTTTGACTATCCTACATAAACCCACAAGAATTTCCCCCGCAATCTCTAACAACAACACCTATCTGCACTTCTTTGAACAAGCTAAAAATAGGCCCATCAGAATTAATGTTGACAGTACCTATCGAAGGAGCATACCATCAAGAGATCACACAAGAAATAAGGGAGATATCTCTTTGGGTTGTGTGATCATAATCCTCTATGTGATTTTGGATAGTGAAACACTTAAATTGGTAACAATTTTATCTTTACCTTATTGTGTTAGAAGAGATCACTACCTCCACCCTACTGAGGATGGAGCAAGGAGTTCAGAAGCTGGTGTATAACACCAGCCAGGTTCTTAAAGGAACTGAGACCATGTACTCAAGGCTAAGAAGGTGGTATTGGCCTTAGTAATAGTAGCACAGAAGATACAACCCTATTTCCAAGCTCATACAATTGTAATCATGACAGATTCCCCCATCAATCAAATCTTATAAAGGCCAGAGGTGTCAGG